ATATATCATTGAAGTGAATGATAACAAACCTTAACATAGCTAACACGTGGTAAATTTCTGATAATATTACCAAATTGAAAAGTCATTGCAAGAAGTGAATTAACTCCTAGCATTGTACGAGCTGGTATTGCTTTAGAGCCAAGTGCAAATGAAATCCATGCTACAAAAAAAACAAATCAATAAAGTAATTAAATGAAATTTTAAAAATTTCTAATTGTTCTTTTTTTTTTCTGAAAGAGTTATTTAACATTTCTATCAACATTCAGTGATAACAATCATGATAATTATCATCAATATTCAGCGATAACAATCATGATAATTATCATTAATATTCAGTGATAACAATCATAATAATTATCTTATTATCAATAAGATAAAAGAATTTCAAAAGGAACTTCATTATAGTAAGTAATATTAAACTCAGCTAAAGTTTAAATCTTACATATACAAATAGTAAGATAAGTTGGAAGATAAGCTTGTAGAATATACCATCCAGCTCGTCGTTTAAAATGAAATATCATTGTTAATTCATGCCAAAAACCAGCAGGATAAGGCTTTAAAAAATAAAGCAATTTATTTCTAATTAATTTCACTTCAAATTTAACATTATTAATTTTATTCCTTTTGTTTTCCCTAAGCGCCTAAATATATTTCCATTTATTTATTTATTCATCTTTTTGAATGTTAAATACTTAATTACTTAAAAACATAAAATAAACTAAAAACATTAACAATGATTGATAGCTAGATTAATTTATCAATTGACACCTCTGTTTTCCTAAAATTCTCAATACCGGTAAGTTCATAATCAGCAAGTTCCATTTTTTCACGCATTTTCGATACACCAAGTGGTGACCAAACCATTTCAACTTCATCGGTATTATAGCTAAAATGAATAATTCATGAAATTATTCAAGCAATAAGATTGTTTAATTTAGACTTTGAAACAATAGACTATTTAATTTAGACTTTGAACAATAGACTTGGCAACAATAGACTTGAAAAAAAATAATAATAAAGGAATATTCTTATCTCTAAGACTGGATCGATGATAAAATTCTAAAAATCGTAAAATCATTTTATCAATTCAAATGAATTATACAACAATAAACCATGTATGTGCCACCAAAATTATTCAGAAAAAGAAATTGAAATTTATTGAATTATTGATTATTGAATTCTAATTTAATTGATTATTGATTAATGAATTCTAATCGATTATTGAATTCCAATTAATTATTGATTATTGAATTCTAATTTAATTGATTATTGATTAATGAATTCTAATCGATTATTGAATTCCAATTAATTATTGATTATTGAATTCTAATTCAATTGATTATTGATTAACAAATTCTAATCGATTATTGAATTCTAATTAATTATTGATTATTGAATTCTAATTCAATTGATTATTGATTAATGAATTCTAATCGATTATTGAATTCCAATTAATTATTGATTATTGAATTCTAATTTAATTGATTATTGATTAATGAATTCTAATCGATTATTGAATTCCAATTAATTATTNATTCTAATTTAATTGATTATTGATTAATGAATTCTAATCGATTATTGAATTCCAATTAATTATTGATTATTGAATTCTAATTTAATTGATTATTGATTAATGAATTCTAATCGATTATTGAATTCCAATTAATTATTGATTATTGAATTCTAATTTAATTGATTATTGATTAATGAATTCTAATCGATTATTGAATTCCAATTAATTATTGATTATTGAATTCTAATTCAATTGATTATTGATTAACAAATTCTAATCGATTATTGAATTCTAATTAATTATTGATTATTGAATTCTACCTTAATTGATTATTGATTAACAAATTCTAATCGATTATTGAATTCCAATTAATTATTGATTATTGAATTCTAATTTAATTGATTATTGATTAACAAATTCTAATCGATTATTGAATTCTAATTATTGAATTCCAATTCATTATTGATTATTGAATTCTAATTTAATCAAAATAAATTTATATCATACTTCTACAAAGTGATAATTTTCTTTTGTTTTTCAACATTTGTTTTTTTTTTTTTTTTTGTTCTCTCAATTAATTTCGATTAGTGAACTAATTAATAATGCTAATTTCTCTCAATCATTTAGGATTATTTAGAAAGAATAGCTAATTTTTACATAAGCTCAAAATCAAGCAATCATAGAATAATTGTCACGAAATGTATTTAAAAGAAAAATTTGAGAATTTAAATAACTAACTTAAAGCTTTCGAAAGTAAGCGAGCATGTAACATTGTCGAAGGGAAATCTTGTTAAATCCATCGTACATGGTCCTAAATTAACATTTTTCCTTTCAATACTTCATAAATTTTATTGTTAACATTATCTTCACATTTCCTATTTGTCCGTTATGTCTACAACAATATTTATTAGATTATTCTGTCTAGATATTCTCGAAAAATCCTTCAAATTCAATTATTAGTTTCCAGTTATATTAACTTCAAAAGTTTTATAATTCATCTTCTCTTATTCATCATTCATCTATAATTTAAGCCTAGCACTAATAAAAAAAAAAAAAAAGCTAAGTGCTAAGTTAAGCTAAGAAGCCAAGTGAAGTAGAAAATTTGAAATAAAGTAATTCTCTTAAGTCATGGTTATTGAAATTTGAAATTGAAATTGCTAAGTTGTTTTTTGCTTATATTTACAATTCAAAATTATTTGTTTGGAAATTATTTTAATTTATGCTAAATGAAAGGTATTTGTTGTGAGATTTATTTACCTGAGATTATCTTAAAAATTTTCAAAGATATTAATTATATTAACCTTTAAGATATTAATTATATTAACCTTCAAGCGCAAAAATTTTTATATATTAAAATCTGGATTATATATAACTTTTAATGTTTATATAGGTAAATAAATAAGGTATAGTAATTTGTTTGAATATTTTATTTTCAGGTATATTAAGAAATGAATTACTATGGAATTTATTGTTGTGTGATTATTTCCGCTTATCTATAATTTACAAAAAGAAGAAACAAAACATACCTTGCAATTTGAGTCTATAATTAGTCCATACTGATCCATTAGAATAAATCATTAAAAAAATATTTGGAAAAGGACTTCGATGTATATCGGCAGTTTTTGAATTGATAAAACATGAATTCGGTGTCCAGAGTTTCTCCAATAAAACACTGTTCAGCGATAAATTATATTTACAGGGTTGCATCCAGGAATAATCTAAAGCTGGATCCAACCACATCTCACTGATGTAGATATCCAACTGTAAATAACATTCAATATTTCTTTATGTTAAATTCAACTCGATGAAACGGTGAATTTAAAAAGCAAAATAAGATAGAAATTCAGAATGCATTTTGACAAGTTATTTCTAGATCATTTCATTATTCTATCAGGCTATTCTTAGATTACTTTGATAGGGTTGTTCCTAGGCTATTTCATCACTATCACTTTTCTGCAGATTTCTAAAAACTTTAAATAGAAATATGGAAAGCACTAGTTATTCATTTTAGGTTATAACTTGTTTTCCACTACAAATATTACAGGTGCAGTTAATAAGTCTGCAATTTAAGAAAAAAAAAGTTTACCTGAAAATCAGAGGTAATATCACTAATTGTTGTAATTTCTTGCACCCAAACTTCCACCTGAACAATCACTGAATCTCCTGGAACTTTATGGCGATTATATCTTTTGAGAATAGTTTCCAGAATGAATGAATCATTGGCACAATTTTGTTGACGTTTTATCTTATCACCGGTTGAAAATGGTAAATGATGATAATGAGAATATTGTAATTGTTCATTCTTTCCATTAATTGATTCAATTACTGGACGTAAGCCACCGTACTCATCCATTTGCCAATCGTATAATCTGAAATTTTATAAAACGATCGATATTTTATAATAAATTTAAAAAACTTAATTTCAAGATAAATTTTAAATATGAAATAATCACTCTTAAACTTTTCTACACTCTTTTGCGAAACAAATTAATAAATCAATCAAAAGACAAAAGAATAAATTAATTAATCTAAAGACAATAAATTAATACAAAAGTTGCTAATTTTTTATAACAAATTACCTGCTCAATCTTCGAAGAATTCGTGAATTCTTTCTATACATTGCTTGTCTAAAAAGAAAATATTCAATAAAGTTTTATAATTTTAAAAGATTATCTAATTAAAAAAAAAAAAAACACAAAGGTATAAAAGGTAAAATGTAAAATTCCTAAAATACTTAATAAAATATCTTACCTAAAAATTCACATGTTTTCTCTAATTTTCATTGTGGTTACCGATAATTAATTAAAATTAAACTTTCGAACCATTCATCATTTAAGTTTTCATTTTAACAACCTATCATGCTAAAATTATTATTCCTCTAGAGAAATTTCATCTTCATTCATTCTCTTCCTACGGGTAAATAAGAAAAGAAATATAGGTTTGTTTCAGATAATGTGTCATCATCATCATCATCATCATCACCATTATCATCATTATCATATTGCGATCCATCGAAATAATATTGAAATTTTTGAATTGCATTAAATCGATAAGGAAATAATTCATCGCTTATTTATTTTCATGCATTTGAAATTAAAATGTATCGATTGTATGTGATAAATTTTTGATGATAATAAAGCAGTATGATAATTTTGATTTGATAATCTTTATCAGATATTAATATATTATATATTTATCAGATATTATGCATTAAATCGATAAGGAAATAATTCATCGCTTATTTATTTTCATGCTTATCCTTTCATTCGAAATTAGAATGTATCAATTGAAATTTTTGATGATAATATTTTGATGATTAATTTTGATTTGATAATCGATAATAAAGTAGTATGATAATTTTGATTTGGCAATCTTTATCAGATATTATTATAATTCAAAAATAACAAATTTTGAAATTCCTTCAAAAAATTGAAAATGAAGGAATTTTTTTGAATTTTTAATGCAACACTTTTCCATTTATTGACAGCTTTCTTTTTACCATACAGCTATTATTAGATTTATTGAAAAAGCAAAAATTAAATATTCAAATTTGGTGATTATTTTATTACTTCACCCTAAGCACCTCCTTTTTTGTGATAACAATTTTTTCAAGCGAAGAAGCAACAAAATTGATATGTTTTAAGAAATACTAAGAAGAATTGATTGGAAGGTTGGATTGATATGTTTTAAGAAATACTAAGAAGAATTGATTGGAAGGTTGGATTGATATGTTTTAAGAAATACTAAGAAGAATTGATTGGAAGGTTGGAAGAGGAAAAATTGAAATGAATAAGGAATAATTCATTCAAAAATATCGTCTTTTTATTTTCTCTGTTAAACTTTTGAAATAAAAATTTGCATATGAAAGTAACGAATAATGTAAATATCTTTTATTTAACTAAAATCATTTCGCAGAGTTTAATCATTCGAAAATAAAACTTTTTCATTATAATAGTAAGTTGAAAGTTTTACGACGATACTGTCAATAGGAATTGAAAGTTTTACGACGATACTGTCAATAGGAATTGAAAGTTTTAAGACGATACTGTCAATAGGAATTGAAAGTTTTAAGACGATACTGCCAATAGGAATTGAAAGTTTTAAGAAGATACTATCAATAGGAATTGAAAGTTTTAAGCGGATACTATCAATAGGAATTGAAAGTTTTAAGTGGATACTGTCAATAAGAATTTTTAATATTGTATTTTCAACTTTTAGCAGTCTCATTTCAATCAATTACGAATTTCTGCAAAATTCATTTACCTGTAAAGAGTATCATTTTATTGAAGCTTACAATTTTTTTCCTATTAAAAGATCATGTGAATGTAAAATGATGAAAGCACCTGTGAATTTTACTTTAAATCTCTAAACAATTTTAAACTTCAAAAATAAGAAAAAACCCTGATAATTAGAGTGCAATAATTCTCCGCCGTATATATATATCGATACGATGATTTATTCATTAATTTCTTTCATACCTTTCATTTAACTTACAACAGTGACGGTGATAAATTTTTTTTGTCTAATTATTAAATTGAAAATTAGATAGATTATATGTTTTTGCTATTTAATTAATCCTAATAATTGAAACTATGAAGTTACTATTAATAATAGCAATTAATGATAGAAATAATAATAATTTTACTGTTAGCATTCAGAATAATAGTAATAATAATAGCAATGAATAATACACATAATAATAAATATATTTATTATTATTAATTAATAATAATAAACAACAAACAACAAACAATAAATAATAAATAGTAAATAAATAAATAAATATTAATAATATCGATATTTTAGCCGATGCAAACATTCCACTGTCAATATTATTTATGAGCACAACAAAATTTCATCTTTAATGAATTATGAAATTTATTTCAAAGTCATTTCCCATTTAAAAGCCTTTAATTATCAAGCTTATCCAAATGATGATTTATTAAAATATCTGCAGAATGCATTCATTTTAGCAAAAGCCTAATTATATCAGTTTAAAATTAAGAAAAAACAATATCTTGTTAATTGAATATATTTCTTTTTTAGCGTAGGAAAATTTAATTTTCAAATTTTAAGCAAAATTTATCTTATCTGTTAAAAAAAATGATAATATTACAATAGAAAAAAAAAAGACAAGCAGTGATTAAAATGGATTTGTTTTAGTAAATGCAAAATATAAAATTCAGTTATTTATTTATCAATAATATAAACAAATAAGATATTTATCATAAGTGAATAAGACTTAAGAAAATGGATTAGGAGAAATGAAAAGTGAAGTAAGACGATTTCAATGAAAAATGCCTTCCACACATTTAAAATCGTTAAGATATTAATAAAATATTTATTGGTGAAATTCATAAAATACAAGAACTTTGCAATATGTGAAAGGCATTATTAGGCTTAGTAAAATGTTTATAAGTTAGTTAATAGAGAGGGATATAAAGGAATAAGATATTTATCATAAGTGAATAAGACTTGAGAAATGGATAGGAAGAATGAAAGGGAAGCAAGACGATTTTAAAGGTTAAAGTATTAATAAAATATTTATCGATGAAAATTTACAAAATACAAGGAAAAGCTTGTAATATGTGGAAAGCATTGTGAAAGGCATATATGGAAGGCATTATTAGGCCTAGTAAAATGTGTTTATAAGTTAGCTAGCTGATAGAAAGAATAATAAAATATTTATCGATGAAAATTTACAAAATACAAGGAAAAGCTTGTAATATGTGGAAAGCATTGTGAAAGGCATATATGGAAGGCATTACTAGGCCTAGTAAAATGTGTTTATAAGTTAGCTAGCTGATAGAAAGAATAATAAAATATTTATCGATGAAAATTTACAAAATACAAGAAAAAGTAAAAAAAGTCTTGCAATATGTGGAAGGCATTGTGGAAGGCATATGTGGAAGGCATTGTATAAGGCATATATGGAAGGTATTATTAGGCCTAGTAAAATGTATTTATAAATTAGTTAATAGAACGAAGAAAAATCTCGTCTCAATTCATTTTTTTTATACAAATTCCTTGTTATTATTGAATGAATTTAAAGAATAAATTAGAGTATAGACATTCTTAATATTTTTTTTACTAAAATAGGGAAAAACAAATTGAATAGGAAAATATTTCGAAGGCAATAATAAATTTCAGTTGAAAAATATTTTACAAATGAATAAATTGAATATGAAGGAAAAGATATAAATATATATTGAAAAGAAGAAATATTATGTGCGTTGTTATTATCTCTACAACACTTTCAAAACAAAAATAATATCTAAAAATTATATTATAATGTAAATCAAAAAATTGACATACTTTATTAGTATTATTTAATTTTTGACAAAAATGTTGCGAAAAATTTCACAAGAAAATATTTTAGAAATAAATGATGAGAATATTGAGGATAATCGAATCGGATTAATTACTTGTAAATTAATATATTATCTAATACATCGAACAAGATATCGGATTAATTACTTATAAACTAATATATTATCTAATACCTCGAATAGGATATCGGATCGGATTAATTACTTGTAAATTAATATATTATCTAATACATCGAACAAGATATCTTATCGGATTAATTACTTATAAATTAATATATTATCTAATACATCGAACAAGATATCTTATAGGATTAATTACTTGTAAATTAATATATTATCTAATACATCGAACAAGATATCTTATCGGATTAATTACTTGTAAATTAATATATTATCTAATACCTCGAATAGGATATCGGATCGGATTAATTACTTGTTAATTAATATATTATCTAATACCTCGAATAGGATATCGGATCGGATTAATTACTTGTTAATTAATATATTATCTAATACATCGAACAAGATATCTTATCGGATTAATTACTTGTTAATTAATATATTATCTAATACATCGAACAAGATATCTTATCGGATTAATTACTTATAAATTAATATATTATCTAATACATCGAACAAGATATCTTATCGGATTAATTACTTGTAAATTAATATATTATCTAATACATCGAACAAGATATCTTATCGGATTAATTACTTGTAAATTAATATATTATCTAATACATCGAATAGGATATCGGATCGGATTAATTACTTGTTAATTAATATATTATCTAATACCTCGAATAGGATATCGGATCGGATTAATTACTTGTTAATTAATATATTATCTAATACCTCGAATAGGATATCGGATCGATTAATTACTTGTAAATTAATATATTATACCTCGAATAGGATATCGGATCGATTAATTACTTGTAAATTAATATATTATCTAATTTATTTATTAATACCTCTTTCATTATTTATTCCTGACATTCCATTTTCATTTACTTCAAACAAATTTCAATCATTTCTTAAATATAATTTAATGGAATAAACCTTATCATTTGTTCAATTCATAATTAATTTATTATGATATAATATGATGCATATTTGTGAAATAATTAAAACTTAAAGATTTTGTAGTTTAATTAGATAACATCCAATTTAATAGATGTAATATACGTCAAGCGTCAAGTGGAAAAAGGAAATTATGTATTACATCAAGTATATGAAAAGAATTACATACTGCATGCTTAATTTCTATTTGATTAATTATCTATCCTTATTTATAGCTTTTAATTATCTCAATCAATCTAATGCTATATGACATTTGAATCTTCGAATTCATAATTTTTGAGATTCAATCTTATCTTCAACAATGAAAAATCTCTTTTAGACTTTCGACAAAATATCATGAATAGTATATATCAATGAGAATATGTTATGCTTTGTAATTAGTAGTAGTAATAGTAGTGGTGGTAGTAGTAGTATTAGTAGTAGTAGTAGTACCATCAAAATTTACTGATAAGAAAACAATTCATAAATGATAGAATTAAATGTTGAATTATGTTTGAAAATGTTTCAATAATTAACGGAATGAAAAACAAAAGATTTTAAAATTTATTCTATTCCATTTCAATTCGTTACTTATCAAACTAATCATTAACATATCAATAAATTATCATACAATTAAATCGAATTAATGAAAACTATCCAAATCAAATTATATGCTTCTATTAATTAAATCTTAACAATATATTAATTATATATTAAAGAAGTAACATTTAAACTTTGACCGGAAAATGAAGGAATAAAATAGATAGCAGCACTAAATTAAGCATCAAAAATATTCATCCATTTCAATCGGAAAAACAAAACAATCAAACTTCTTCTTCAATATCAATAAAATTTAAATGTCATATTTCATTTAAATTAATTTCATTCAAATTCCGACCAAAAAAAACAAAATAATCCGAAAATTTAAGTGAAACGGAAAAAAAAAATTTCCGGAAAAAGAGAAAGTGAAGAGTATGAGAGATTTTACCTTGAATAGATGAAATTGATCAAATAAGAAGAGCAGATTATACTAATAAGAAGCAGACGATTGAGGTAGTGCATTGAGTGTTAGCCGGTCGTGTTACCACGATGGCCTGAATTACTCTAATCCTGCAACAGTGGTAGCTTCGCTAGCACTACTTTAAAACACACTGATTTGTTTTCTGGTTGCATGTTCCGAATGCCTCTCTTCCTCATTCCATCATCTTTTCATCTATTCCCTTTTTAAGGAAAAAATTTTTTTCCATATTTTTCCTCTCTCTCCTTCTCTCTCTCTCTCTCTCTCTCTCTCTCAGAAAAAGCTTTTTTACAACAAAAAAAGTTTTCGTTTTTTTAAAAAAAAGATACTTTTCAAAAAATTTTATTTAATATATAGACGATAACGATTACATTCTTATTTTCTATTATTATAAATATATTTGTTGCAAATAAATGAAATGAAATTTAATTTTAAAAAAGAAATAAATAAACATAGCCTATATATATATATATATTTATCTACTTGTTTATGTATAACATATACATACATACATACATTATACATATACATATATATATATATATATATACGCCGAAGACCAAATATTTGAAGTTAGGCGCTGTAAGGCTCCCAATGCGGCATTATCTATGCATATGCTTGTGTTAATGTCTATGCCTGTATGTATTGCATAATATTAGTGTGTCACACTTTTCAGGCTTTAACCGATCCTTTTGTGAAGAAATAAAATAAGCTAGCCTAGCATAGCGGCAGCATCTTTACCTCTCTCTTCCACATGACTTAACAAGCCTAGCATTGAAGTAGAAACTAATTCCAGTACCAATCTTATGGGAATTTTTCTGCCTTCAAAAGAATGAAGAAAAGAAAGTAAGGGTTATTATCAGCCGAATAACAAAAAAAACAGTTTGTTTTCTTTCGACAAATAGTAAAATTAAGGCAGAAAAAAATATCAAATCAAAATATGATAATAGAATAAAGGAAAGAAATTTCTTTTCTCAAACTTATATTGGTCATTGTTTTTATTTATGGCTTAATTAGTTTAAGAAATTTATCAAAATTCCTTAGAAAAGAATTTCATTCTTCTCTTTCATTTCTAATTTTTGCACAATATGATATATCAGTAAAGAGAATATTTTGTATAACAAAGGAAAACAAATAAATAATTAAGAATACCCAAATTAGTCAACATTAATGATGATGATGATGATGATGATGATGCATCCAATGGAATCGTCAAAGGAAATTTGATTGCTGAGTAATTTAATTACTAGAATACATTTGTCTTATTGAAGAATAAAGGAACAAAGTCCATGAAAAAGTTGGATTTTATCGTTTATTGAAAATTATCAAACCTTTGAAAGAATTATATACCGTAATTGAAAGAGACATATATGAAAGAGAATATATACCGTATACACCGTAACTATAGTACAATTTTACACAAAAAAGTGTAAGCAATCAATGAGCAATTAATTACATTGTCATTCTAAATTCGTTTTGAATATTCCAGATATTTGGACAACGTGTATCCATCTAAAGTTGGTGAAAATTTTCGAAATGTTTGCTCGAAATCCTTCATTGTTACAGGAATCTGAGCTACTAAGCATGACTTGCTTACAGTGCAATGAAGATTGTATATTTCCTGTAAAATATAAAATAATCTGTTTTAATTCAACTTCCAGCATTTTATGTTTCTTTATGGTCTATATTTAAAATATTATATGGTTAATGAAAATAGTACTGATTGAAATTGTATGAATTTAGCAATTTAACTTGAAAGTTGATTTTTTACGAAACTAAAAAAGTGTTAACAGACAGAGTCACGGATGACTTTATGGATACGTAGTATAAAGATAAAGGAAATTAATTTCAAGCTAATCATGCATATAAAGAATGTTGAGTTCCAAAACGAAAACTGAGAAGTAGTAAAACAAAGAAAGCTGTAAACAGAAAGCACATGGCTTTCTTTCCCAAGATACCGGCGTTCAAATGTAAAATAAACAAATTCACTCAGTCGTTGATCAGAGTGTAAAATTGAACAGGAATATTTCAGTAGAATAATTTTCAGGAATTGGATGCGTATTGCCGAAAACATTCACGAAAAATGGAATACTTATCGTTTTTTTAAGAAGATAACTATCTCATAAATAACTCTCATTAAGTAACAATCATAGATATGTCCGTGGCTACAACAATTTGGTAGTTCAAACATAAATCTCCATGCCAGAACAAGACAAGACAATATGTGCAAGCTGATTGTGTACAAACGCACAAGCTATTAATCTCCAAATATCGGAGAAAATAAAAGCAACTATCAAAATCCTCTTCCAATTGTACCGTCACCGAGAATATACTGACATAGGATGAGTTCTAGCAATTTTCAGTTTTCAATTTTCTCTACGATTTATCGAGAAATGCAAAGGGAACAAACATTTGAATAAATAATTGGTGAATAAAAAAGTAACACCTTGAACTTAGTAAAATGCAAAAAAGCGACTTCACGAGCAAATCTTCTTAGATCATCACCGCTGAAACCATCTGTTAAAGTTTCCAAAACATTCCAATTAATATCGCTCGATATAGTAAGTTTCTAAAGAACGGAATTATTTGCAAATAATAAAAGTATGAAGATTATAAAGCAAACTCGAAATTATGCAACCTGCTTTAGATTCCATTACTCGCCATCAGCTTTTTCAAAATAAATAACTAATAAATAAATCGAGACTTACATTTAGGAACTTCTTCAACAGCATTATTCTTGACGTAGCATCAGGTAAACCAACAAAAATCCTTTTTTCGAAACTGGAAAGAGGAAAGACGGTTGTAAAGGTTATTTGTTTCATTTATTACTTAAAAGTGATCATGCTTCAATCTATTCTTTATCTGGCAATTTTTTAAAATTGGAAAACTCAATTTAGCTGTAACTAATAATAACAGACCGTCTCAAGAAAGCTGTATCCAATTCCCACGGACAATTAGTTGCACAAATAAGCAATACAGAGCTACACGAACTATGTAGTCTTTGAAGTTGCAGAAATAGTTCTGTCTGTAAACTGGAAACACTATAAATTTCAAAAATCATAAAGTTAAATTTAGTTCTAAACAATACTGTCGTAGTAAGCGATCGCTATCACATTTGATGTAATTTAAGATAGCAAGCTTTTCTATATTCCAAACAGCAAAATTTTTCTAGTAATCAAACAAGGATATAAATTTAAGCAGTTGCGGGGATATGAAACATATTAATTAAGATTTGGTAGAGTATTTACTCAGGTTGCTAGAAACACTAAAGAAGCAAAAGTTGCTTTCGAAAAGAATGCACACTTACCTTGACACGTCTAACATTATCATCTTCAGTGGTCCGTCTGATCCGGCACAAACTGTCAATTTCATCAATAAATATAACTGAAGAGTTATGAGCTAAAGCATGATCGAAAAGTTCACGAATTAATTTCTCACTCTGACCACTCCAGGTTGAAACTAAGTCTGAGGAAGAAACCTGAAATGAACCAAAATATGAATCACTGTTAAATTATGGCTTCTTCGCTACATTAATTTATTCTTGTACAGTGAAGTTGACAAAACATTTCAAATGTCCATCCCAAATCACACGTACCCGTGAAGCTTTAAAAAAAACCAATGATTTTTGTATGGTACACTTTACCTGATAAAATCTGGTATTCATTTCTCGCGCAATTGACTGGCACAAACGTGTCTTACCTGTAATATGTACTTTTCCCATTCAAACATTTCTTTCAAGCAAATTTTATCTTGATGAATTGTAATCTAATTAAACATTTTTTAAATCACTCTGCTAAATTCAACTGAAATTGTAATCATTTAGAGAACTGAATAATAAGCAATAAATGAGGCAATCACTCTTAAAATCGCAAAGAAAATCTACCAGTTCCTGGTGGACCATAAAGGAGAACGCATCGCCAAGGATTATGGCCTGATGTGGCAAACCATTCCGGATACAATACAGGATCAACCACGGCTTCCATCAGAGCCTTTTTAGCCTTAATATCATGAAATCATTAAATGAGACGGAAATGGAAACATGCTAACAATTAAAGTAAGCTTAAGATAAACCTCTATTTGTCCAACAATATTATCCATAGTAGGAAGTTGTGACTTGTCTCTAACAATGGTACGTTCAATAGCTTCTTTTCGTTCAGAATAAAAAGAATCGAGAGTGCCCGATGAATTATCCTGGAAATTAACAACAGTTTAAGTATTTCATCAACTACATGTGAAATTATATCGGACTAACTTGAATTTTTATGCAGCTGTAGAATTTTAGACCGGTTTCTAATAAATTGATAATAGTGATCAATTGGTCTTTGCTTCGTTCCGTAAACAGCTTTTTTGAAACAGGAAACCTCATCAGATGATATAACAGTGGTAGCACCTGAAATATTGACTTGTTCTAACTTCACGGAAGAAAGAAATAGCCGTTAAGCAAAAAACTTGGCCATTCTATAACCAGTGCAAATTATCAAACACTGGATGGATACTAATCCATTGAAAAATCATTTCCGAATAACAAACACATGTAGATGGAAATGACGGCAGATGTTAGATAACTTTCGACAACTCGAACACGAAGCTAACTCTTTTTATTTTCCAACAAAACAAATAATGTATAATAATTCGTAACTATTTCTTAGAAATAACCAAATTTGACAGAAAAGATCACCTTTTCACGAATAATTGTTGATGATGGTTTTGCCTTACTTGCTTGAAGATATAAAATGTTTTCCAAATACAGCAATGTGGCCCGCACTTCCTTCAATTTCGGAATTGCTGACATTTTAGTAAGAATGGTTAAATATCTGTAATTAACACACTTTTTTTGATTGTGACGGAAACAGATAAACTTCTCTGCTCAGCTCAGCTAAATTAAACTATGTTGAATCATGGGATTCGATTGTCAAACATGAGAAATTCTCCTCTTCTCAAACATATTATTTAGTTTACGCGTAAAACTCATGAGTTTTTTACAACATCTCAGATTCCTGTATAATGGATTCCACAAAGAATTGAGAATTCAGCTTTTTCAGGTCTATACCCTCCCCCCTATTTCGCAGATTCCAGTTAAATAGCTGGTCTGACAGTTGCATTCTAGAAATTAGTATTCTCAATCATCAGCTATACGAGTTATTAATCAAACAAGGCTTCCTAAATCTACATGCGAAACATCACCTCAAACTAATGAGTATATTAGATGAAAGTTCAATTCGATAGCGTATTTTATAAAAAACATAAATACAAATCATTTGTGAAGAAACATACACAATAATCACATACATTTACAAATATCATGTAATATTACCATTTTTTCATAAAAGCAACAATTTATACATGACAGTATCCTGATAAATCGACGTGAAAAAGCAGTCGATAGCATATTAATGCATTGAAAGACAGTTGACCCACCCGTTACTTTTCTTTAGTTTTTTCTTGAAGCTGATATATGTTCTGGAAAGACGCCCTTAATATTTCGGAAAAAAAGAAAAGCAAAAAAAGATAAGAAATTGTGAAATATATTTTGAAAATCTCATCAGTTTCTAATCAAACCCTTTCTCTGTGCCACGAGGGAGTACGTTAAGGACAATTAAAATCAGGAACAAATATAGCTGTATGTATTTATCCGTTCTATAAGCATACACATATTATAGCTGAGTTGTTGCGATACGTTCAAAGCTTTATCTGTTAACAATAAAACATCCACAAGCTGAGGAAGCAAGCAGTCCGCTAAGGTAACTGTCAAACCTTGGCTACCTGAAATCGCCAAATATCATTATTTAATAATTTGATTAGTAATAGTCTCAGCAGAACTGAAAAATTTTTGTTTTACTCATTAGTTAGGTAATAGATCGATATTGCTTTCATAAGAAGCTATAAAATCTACAGAAGTACATTAACTCTCCTTTATGTGCTGTTACATTTTCATAAAACTTCATATATACATATTTCGAAGACCTTTTTAGTTGGTGGGAAAGTTGCAGAAAGTGATAAATGATACAATCTCATCCTTTACATCTTGTAACAGACTATTTCTCAAGCTACTTAAGCTATATGCCTATAAAAACATTTTAAAAACTGCACCACTGGTTTTCGATGTAACTTGATAAGCAGCACAAACAAGGCGATTTGCGATTATATAATATGATAAAACCAAATCAGGTGGCAATGGGGGATTGAAACATCGTGTTATTGTTGAATTACACAATTCCAATAACGTATGTTTTTCTGGTATGCATAATGTTGAACGTGCCTGTCTGATCAGGTTTGTTACCTGAAAAAATAAATAAAATGGTTGCAATGTTTTGAAATTTAGTACATAAAATTTTAGTATGTATCTTAGCAGGTAAAATTCTTGTTGGATAAAATTAATGTCCATATAAAGAAAAAATGAAAAAGATAGAAATTTTAAACTAAATACAGAAATTTATATATAAAATTTATCGCAAAGAGCTAAAGACTATTGAAACGAAAGAAATAAATTGTACCTTAGCTACAATAGTGATAACAGTGGATGATATCTTACCAATATCATTAGGTGCTATCTGCTTAATCCACTTCAATCCCTGAAGAATAATCAACGCTGGTCATTTAAAATTTCTTAAAAACATAAAAATGAGAAGTTAAGACATAAAAAACTGACCCGAACGAGCGTGCTTAGAGCTTGAACATAGTAATTATCAGCATCTTGCATCTGCTGCAATTTCCACTGCACATCGGGTTGTGCAGCTCCGCGGTAAGCGCCACCAGGCATTTTCGGATATTTGATTATCACCTAGAAATCAATTGATCCAATTAGAAAATCACCTTGCATTTATAATGCTTGCAAAACATTTGCAAACAACTTCAATTAACAAATTGACAATTCATGAAAGAATCAGCAAAATAATAAGTTTCCTCCCACATTCAAATCTCATTCCAGTTTTGAATCTTCATCAGTGGTACCTCAGTTTGTATAATACTCTCGCCAAGCAGCATAACAGAACATTTGAATACTTCCGCTCCTGAACGTTGCACCAACGAAAGTTTTTCTTTCGTCGGATTTTCTGCTCCTAGCCTGGTTGATGAATCCACTTTAGCAGATAGATTCATCCTTTTACAAATTTCCCGTAAAATATTTTCCAGCTAAAATTTCCAAAATAAATTATAATAAAAGAAAATGGCTGAGCAATCGTAATCAAAAGTAGTTCTGGAAACTTCTAACACAACTTCTAATTATCGTAATCAGCGGATTAACACTAGCGACCACCACTATCTTATCCAGAACATTCAATATTAGATTGTACTGATCACTAAAAAAATCTTTTAAGAAATGCCTTCATAAAAATTTCGACCACTTCCAAGTTTTGGAACCAGCGCTGTTCAGCTACGAGAACACGTTGTATCATTAATGCTCGTTCTTCCTTTGATTGAGGAATGTTTCTTCTATCGATGCCATCATTATCATTATCATCATCTTGATCTGATTGTTGATATACAGCTTCAGTGGCAACATCTACTTCACTCATTGTGATTTTTTAATATGCACTTATCTGTAACGCTATCTTTTCAGTACCACAGAATCTATTATTATGGATTACCAAAAGAGTCAAAAGTGTTGAATCAGTTCATTTTACTATCACATCAATCTTTATAAAAGATTCGGCAACAGAAGTTATCATTCGATTGATAGATTACTCTTCTTCAATCATGCAACCAAAATGAACCATCCCAATATCATCAGACCCTGAAACTTCTTACACTAACTGCTTTCATCCCTCAGTAACGGCCTCTTCTATAAATTAGAGATAGTTGGCTTACGAGAAAGGCGGGGAAGGGACACTGCGCAACGCTAACGGATCGTATCCCCTCCTTGGTTGTTTAGTCAAAAGCATTTATTGATAGATCATTTGGGGATAGATTTGACGAATTTACATTTGTGATAGGTGACCGAAGTATTCCAACCATTCTTCTCTCTCAATTTCCATTATCGATTAATTGATTTAACATAAAACAAAAGAAAGAGAAACTTTATCTATTTCGTTTTAGTTTCACATTCCGTTCACGCATTTTTGTGCAACTATCAATCAAATCAGAACGATGTCATCACCTAAAGTATTTGTGGTTTGTACCTTTTCTCTCTTTTGAACTTTGAATAACTTTGTGTTTTATTCATTAAACAAATGAAAAATATATGGTTGTTAATTGGTATGTACACATTATCTACGCTGAATAGTTGAAAAGAAGTTCAGCAACAACAATTGAACAGGAAAGATCGGTTACTGCAATTTGTGCTTAGTTTGGTATTTATCAGATCTACAGTTATTATCCTTTTATTAAAAGTGTAGATATCTTCTATTGCTAAATCAATTATTCATCATTTTCATAGGTCACTGGCGCAAATAAAGGGATTGGTTACGGGATCGTAAAAGGTCTTGCTGAGAAGTTGCATGGTGCAATCGTTTACCTTACGGGTATCATTTGCATATCACAACGAATATTAATTGCTACTTCTCAAGGATACTTATTATGGGTAAAAGAAGAGTGAAAGCACGCTAACGAATTAGTCTTCTCTTCCCTGAGTTGTTTTATGGATCTTTCTGCCGCGATATTAAAATAATCAATAACCATCTTTCTATTTCTCGACAATTGAGTGAGTGGAAGAGAAATTTTATTCATTTTTCACTTTTTACAGCGAGGAATGAGAAATTGGGTACGGAATCATTGGACAAATTGATAAAAGAATTGGGTAATAAGCGCCATTCTGACATTCATTTTCATCAACTTGACATTACCGATCGCAACAGTTGCGAGAATTTTGCTTCCTATTTGAAAAAAGAACACAATGGATTGGATGCATTGATTAACAATGCAGGATTTGCTTTCAAAGTGATTAAATAACTGATAAGAGATCTTTTATATTTTCATTTTGAAACGAATAATATTGTAACTAAGAGATAGTATCGCAATGTTGATTGTATACAAAGCATATTTAGAAGGATGAGTTTATTAAATTTATTGAGTTTGATAAAGTTAAAAGCATGTATTTTAGCATGCAGCAACAGAATCACCCGAAGAACAGGCTCGCGTGACAATTGTTGTTAATTGCAGTGGTACTAAACAAGTTTCTAATATATTATTTCCTCTCATTAGAGATGGTGGAAGGTTAATTTTTTACCTGTTAATCAAAATTTTACTGTACTGCGAGCGTTTTTTGTTTTTTCATATGACTTAAGCAATGTTAGTCTTTGTCTTTTCAGATTAATTCCATTTCTTTCTTTAGAGTTGTTAATGTAAGCAGCTCAGAAGGTGTCATTGCCGGACGTTACAGTGATAAAATTATTGCTAAACTTACCAGTCCTTCGTTAACAATTGCTGATATCGACAGCTTCACTCATGACTACATAAAGTAGGGCTTAAACTAATATTAATTTTATACTTTAAATTAAAATCTTATAATTAAATATGAAGAGGTGATAGTTTGAAGAAGAGGATGAAGAGGTGATAAAAAGTAGTTTTCCAAGTGTTAATTGTTGCCATTAAGGGTACTGTTCCAGGGCTTGTGTTGGAGATAAGAGGAAAGAAAATGGCTTTCCTAGCTCAGCATATAAAGTGTCAAAAGCTGCCGAGATAGCACTCACATTTGTCCAAGCAAAAGAACTGAAACCTCGAAATATTTTGGTAAACGTGGTCCGTAATTTTTTCTTCATTTTTTCCGGAACTCAAATGGAAATATTTAAGTATTTACTAATGAAAAGAATAATTTTATCTCTTTGTTTTTTAATTTGTGGCTCTAACGAGGAGATTGTTTATTGAAAACACTTAATTTTCGGAATGATTCACGAAGAAGATTTCTTTATTGAAAAATTTCCATTGAAAATTTTTACAGTGCCATCCCGGATATGTTAATACAGATATGACAAGTCATCATGGCCCTCTAACAATTGAAGAGGGTGCTGATACACCTATTTATTTAGCAACATTGGAAGGCAATGGACCAACTGGAAAATTTTTTTATAAGAGAAAAGAGATTGATTGGAATCTTCCGTTTGTCAGCAATTGATTTTGTGAAGCTCGTCATATAATTATTTGTCTGTGTAACATGATTATATTCGTTTAATAACTTGTAGTGAAACAAAAGGGAATGGGTGGGAAGACTGTTAAAGATTGCAAGGGGAGCATGTGATTTTGACTGTTACGAAAAATTCATTCCAATAGTTCAGTACACTCAAATGATATATCTGTAATCATTTCCATTGCAAATTCACTTTAATTGGTTATGGTAATGCTTACTTCAAATAGAGCAATGTAAAATATACTGTATTCTAAGCATTTTGATAAATGTTGATACAATGTAAAATCTCTCAGTTATTCAAAATCGATAGTAGACAAGTTCATCTCATATTTTCACAATTCATTAAACTTATATGGTTTGAAACAAAAAATTCTAGTTAGTATACATTATCACTATCACAACACTGAAGAATTGATAAGAATGAAAACGTTGCAAAAGCTTATCTTTTTAACATAAAAATTTTAACTGAACCTACTTTAAATATTTGATGTATTAAATTAAAGAAATCAACACGATCACTTCCACATTTCAGCGATCATTGCGGACTTCAGAAGAACTTTTTTCATTCTTGGCAATGACTGCCTTACATTTACTAAGTGATAACAAGACTTACTCTTACGTAGTGATCTACGTAAGTATACAAAATGCCTTCTGACTATTCTGTACGGTATACTTCAGTGAAAATTGTCGGTATGTTTTTTACAGTCCACGATTAGGCAAAAATTGGGTGAAACATTTTTGCTTAGAGCTAGTATTAATCGATCGAGTATTGATTGATAAACTAAAATATTTCTCTTAATTTTCATCAAAAAAAGTATTTCACTTCAACATGATGAGTCTTATCTTCAAGTATCTTAATAAGCATGAACGACTTCGTAATCCAAGAACTGAAATAACGAGCTATTACTTTTCATATTTCTGTGTTTCCATGATCCCTACTTTTAGCATGATCAATAGTCAGTTTCTTCTTGGAGCAGTGACTGGAATACTTGCAGTCGTGATAGGAGTAACCATTTCATGACAACAAAGGTTTTTGTGAATACATTCCGGTAATAATTCTTTTACGCGGCACGCAATATCATCTTGCTTTATCATGATTGCAGCTACATTTGTTAAAGGATTCACATTACAGCTGATTGCTACTGCTGCACGGATAATTTTGGAATAGCGGGCTGTTGGATCGTCGTCATCACCGACCATCAACAATTTCGAACACAATGGTAGAACGTAGAAGATCAATGTAAACACGCAGGAAACACCCATAGTAATGGTAAGTTTACGCTGACGTACTTCAAATAATCGTAATGATGCTTCCTGAAATATACAATATTGGAGTATTTTGATCATTAAAACTGTTATTCCTCAGATTTCTGGGAATAATCACTCTAATGGTTATTGGTTTCATTTAATCTTATTAGAATCAAATTATTGATAATAATATTTCGATCTTCTAGATCTGGTGAGTTATTTCATGTAGCAATTACCGTCGTAAGATATATGGACTAAATTTTGTAAAAGTTTCAAATTCTAATTTTTTAAATACTAATTTCTTTTTGCGGGATTGTTTTGCGAATGAGTCAAGTTAGAATGCTCAATTAAGCCTTCTTAAATGGGATGCAGCAATTGTTGGTTGCAATATTTGAATTCAAAAATAAATTTCAGAAGTGGAAGACTCAGTCCAATTGAAAGAGGAAATCGTCGATTGGATCAATCAGAAAAAACATACCGGTCGATTGCTTTTTATCCGGTGAAGATGTTTTCTGCTCAGGAAATACACAACCACGTAGAGGATGACACTCAAAGATGTGGTAGCAATCATTAACAAAAAATGCAAATCAGCAAAAAACGGGTGCATAATATCACCTGTCCTGAAAAGGCTTCTTTCATAGACTGTTTAGCATTTCAATTTACGGAATTATTTATGACGAATTAATGAGTTTACCTACCAACAAAAGCCATGCAACATGGTTTCATTATCGCTGAAGGAAATAGACCAGCCAATAACGACAAAGAGCAATACTGATCCGAAAAAGATAATTATCTGAAAAAAGAATATCTTTCCACCTGAAATTTATAGATTGAAGTGCAAAATTTAGAAATGTCTTTCTTTTGTTTTTCACTTAAAAATTCCAATTTTTTAATCTCTGAATTAAAAATGAGGACTAACCTGCCTGATTTGATATATATAATTTTTCTCATAATATCGCACGGGTAACATAAACAAAATGATACGATCCGTACTCACCATGAGTGTTGCTGTAGCTGACATTAACTCCGACCTAAGTCATACAAATTAATTAGCATTATAATAGCAAATGGGTAATAGAGGAAATGATGGAAACCTGCAAATGAAATAATAAATAAGGAAAAGAAAAACAAAATGCAAGAAATTACCACATAGCAAGGGTAGACCACGGTAGCAACAAGCAGTGCCGTCTGGTTTTTCGGTTGTATCCAAATTTCATCATAATTAGACGGCTGATTCCGGTTGTAAAAGCTGCGACTCCCAACATTCCATCGGCAAAAGCCTGGATGAAAAAGCTGGTTAAAAAGTAGGTAGACAGATCAATTGACCTATGTGATTTTAATTAATTACCTGCGCAAATAAAATGACATACTGGCGTCTGAGATATTGATGTTTAATTAGTGCCATTTCGATCAAACCATTGCAAATAATAAGGAGAAATCCTTCAAATACATAGATAGAAAATGTAATTATAAAATAAAGGTGATTATCTTCCTTTAATTTTCCGCTATCGTCATAATCATTTGCAGTGATATTCATTACTGAAACTGTAAATTACAATTAAACTGTATTAAAAATTAATCCAAAAATTTAAATACACAATGATTGGTAAATGTTGAAATTAATACACTTAAGCTTTACCATATAATTATATAGAACTGCTAAAATTAAGAAGAAAAATGTTTTATCAGTTAAGGATGATAGCCCAATTAACAATTCACTCATAATACTAAGGAAAAACATATTCGACAAACCAAAGAAGCTCATTACAAACTAATCAGCAAGAAGAAGTCAAGAAGCTAAAAGAGGCGTAAATAATAAATTGTCAGTGACGGCAATAATTGTAATCATAGATTGAATGTCAACAATATTAATTAACAAAAATTTCAAATGAAATTATTTCCTTCTTTTTTCCACAAATATTATGAAAAATATTTGTTTAATTTTAGCTGCCACTAAAATTATATACTCAAAACTTTGAAATTTTTAAGAACTTTTTACGAAATTTCCACATGTAATCGAATTTCCTTTTTTTCTTTTATCTTCTATCATTTCTCTAACTTTTTTTGATTTTATCATAAAATTAAAAATATGATATTTGTCTTTTTGCAATGAAATATATCAGAAATTGTCGTCTATCAAATTTGAATCTCTTCTAATTTACAATTAGAATTTATGTTTATCTTGTCTGATAACCGATATCTTCCGAATGAAAGATTGAGATATTTAATATGAAGAAATTTTAACGCAAATAAAATTTCCCTATAGTAAATGAAATGCAATAGCTATGCTGATAAGACGGACTGATAACAGTATTGGAATATAAATGGAATTCATTACTGAAAAGTTAAATAAATTAAAATAACATTTGCAATTAAAATAACATTTGCACTAATTAATTGTTGATGAATCGGATGGAAATGCTAAATTAAGTTGAGCTAATAAATTCGAAATTATGCTCTCGTTGACAATAAACACTTAGCCATGTAGCTGGAAAATGTAAAATGTTAACAGTATCAAAAGTTCAACTATTTCCTTCATTAC